GTGAGGGAGGGGGGGAGAGGGGGGAGATAAGAGGGCGGGGAGGAAGGGAGGTCGATAGAAGAGCCATAAAATAACACGTGCCTTCAGTGTACCCTCGAGACAGTGTTCTGAGCAGCAGTATACTAATGTCCAAGCTCATACACCTACCTGGCAACACCCGAAAATATACAAAAAGATATATATATACATACTCGTATATATATGTATATAGCGTGAGTACACCCCCCCCCCCTCCTCCAGTAATTACAGTCACTGTGTTACTCGGGTGTCGGGAAGGGAAAAGGCATCGTTGCCAACACGGGCTTCAAAACCCGTGGTCGAAAGATAAACGGATGGTTGTGGCGACCGACAACAGAAGCCTTCAGAAGTGTGGTTGCCAGCCATGGTCATTTTCTTTTATGATGTGGTAACACTGGCGAGGCGGTTCTCTCTCTTTCGGTCTTCCTGACTGCTTGCATTTTTTTGGGTGTGGTGGGATGAGAGAGAGAGAGAGAGAGAGGGAGAGAGAGATGGAGAAGGGGAGGGAGAGAGAGGGAGGGAGAAGAAGAGAGAATGAGAGAGAGAAAAGAAGAGAGAGGGAGAGAGAGAAAAGAAGAGAGAGAGAGAGACAGACAGACAGAGACAGAAACAGGGAAAGAGAGGGAAAGATAGAGACAGGAGCAGAAACAGACAGAGAGAGACAAAAAAAACTCATATTGTATTGCCTACGAGGAACCTGTCCTTTGCTAAAGCCACGGACCACGCTCTTTGTCACGCAGAACCAGGCGCAGGAGATAAAAATTTACCGCGTGTTGCTAATCCTGTTTTCCTCTAGGCTGGGGGCGATTGTAAACATGGCTATTGCTATTCGATAGATAGGTCGATGGATAGACAGATGGATGGATAGAATATAATAGATAGATATGTTATGGATAGATTGACATACAAATTGATACTTAGATAGACTGATAGATAAATAGATAGATAGACAGGTAGATTAATATTCGTTTTCTTGATTTGTGGATTATAAAAGGGTTGTTTTGTTTATAATGAGAACGCGTGCATTTTGGAGTTTATGGTGAATATATTATTTTTTATCTTTATGGTAATAACTGTTGGCAAGTTTTTTAAGTTTGTGTATAAGGTACTGGTGATATTTTATAGGGGTAACTAGTAAATATACGCGAATTGGTTTCTGTCTGTCTGTCTTTGTCTGTCTGTCTTTCTGTCTTTCTCTCTGTCTCTGTCTGTCTCTGTCTGTCTCTCTCTCTCTCTCTCGCTCTCTCTCTCTCTCTCTCTCTCTCTCTCTCTCTCTCTCTCTCTCTCTCTCTCTCTCTCTCTCTCTCTCTCTCTCTCTCCCTCTCCCCTCCCCTCCCTCCCTCTCCCCTTCCCTCACACACACACACACACACACACACACACACACACACACACACACACACACACACACACACACACAAACACACACATACCAGAACACAGAGAACACGATCTCAATAACCACACATCCCCCCCCCCCACGTCTAATCTGACCCAGTCGGCGAAACAAGATAGATTCCTAATCCCCTTTTAATTAATTCCGTGGATCCTTTTTTCATTGAGTTTATAAGAGATCGAATATGGTTTTGATTGAGGGAGTCGTCATAGGATCAAATGTCATGGAGATATTTTTATTCTTTCTCTTATATATCACTTATTCCGTGATTATTGTTATCATTGTTATTTATTATTATCATTGTTATTTATTATTATCATTATTATTATTATTTTTATTATTGTTATTATTATTTATTATTATTCTTTTATTATTCTTGTTGTTATTATTTTTGTTATCTTACGAGTTACCCCCACAGTTTTGGTTTTCGGTTCTTTGTATAACTGAATGAATGTGTTTGGTTCCCAGTTGGATTGAGTCAAAACCAATCATAGTCTTGCTGTAGTTTCCATTGCTGGCTAAATCCTCCTTCGAAGTCGCAGAGGACATTTCATAATTGTGTTAGTAACGGTCCTGTGTTTCCAAATTGCTCTGCGCTTAGCCGACCATATCCACGCATATCGTAGAACTCCTCTTTATTCCTGGATTCAGAATAAAAGGATAAAGGATAAAGCGCATTCTGATTACGAACTGCAATCCGTAATGTAACAAGGAATGCCTTCGTGTATTCGTCGCACACAAACCCCCTTCGCTTGTTTTGGAATAGCTTCGGCGGGTTTTCTTGATCGCTTCTCCCAAGCCCTGGTCCCTTCCTCGCGATCGGCACACGTCCCGCAGGTGAGCCACGCGCCGCGCTGGGCGGAGCATGGGAAGTGAAGCAAGGGGGCGCGGGGAGGGGGGAAGGAGGAAGGGAGGAAGGGGGAAGGGGAGGAGGAAGGGAGGGAGGAAGGGGGAAGTTTGGGGGACAGAGGCAGCCAACCGTCTGCCCGGATGTGACTCGCCCGAGGCAAGCGCCGCAGGTCTCATTGGGTTGCGTTCAGCTTTTATGCCATTGGAGCGACGCTCTCTCTCTCTCTCGCGCGCGCGGCGACGGTCGTGGCGTCTGACGTGTCCTGTCGCGGCCGTGGCGAGTATGTGAAGGGCGTCTGAAGTCATGAAGTCACAGGGCGCGCAGGCTGACCTCTCGAAGGACGCGAAGGACCTCGATTCCTGAGTCAGTCCCCGACGACCACGAAAGGTCACACGATCTACCAGGTCTTCTCGTCGCGCGCAGTGTTTTGTTGCT